TCTAATCTATAAAAATGTGTTAATAATCTTTCATTAAATTAACTTCAGATTGTGATAAGTACTTTATTTTTGTCTTTTACTTTTTATCTACACACATTAATGTTTATAAACAAGGCTACCTATCTTTTCTCCCATATTATTTTAATAATTTTTGGAGGGAATCACCTACTACCTCTAATTATCATGTGTATTTGTATTACCCTGTTTTGTCCCTTCCCTTCTCCTTCCTTTTAAATTGTTTAGTGTAATGTGTGTAACTAACTTTTTTCACTTTACTTTTCCTATCTCTCTTTTTCTTCCTCTTTTTAAATAATAAAAAAGTGTTAATAAACTTTTATTCAATTTACATCTAATTTGTGTATATCTTTTCTTTTTCTTTTCTTTCCTCCTTCCTTCTCTCACTCCCTTCTCTTTAAATTATTGTACTAAATTCTCCATTTATGTTAAGTGTGTCCCATATGTGAAAAAATTGATCAAAACTTAATTTTTGTGGATAATGTTTCAGCTACTATTGTAGCTTATCTCATCATCTAAAATTTCTTTGAAAAACAAACAAACAAAAAAAAAGGTATTTTTTTAATTCACTAGTTAAGGACCCATGTTGACAGCTACTAAGTCAGTAAAAAAGTGAGGTTTGCCTTCATAAATTATTATAAGTTTAAACAGAAATCCCCAATGATATATGATTTTATTTTGCCTTAATATAGTGGTCACTTCCTGAAAACGTCTGTCAGAGTAGCCACCGATATATCTGCAAAAAAAAAATGAATGTTCCTGTATTTTCTCTGTAAGCGGATTTTCCCTGATTCCATTTATAATTCTATCTTTAAGATAATATTTCGCAAATCACATGATGACATCTCTGGGAGCTGATATTTCTTAGCCTATGGAACTTCTCTAGTGGATGAGGGCCATAATGGGATATATCTGTTATTGATGAGACGAAAGATAAGTTAAAAGGAAGTAAATTAAATTGTGGCTTCTGAGGTATGAGGTAACTGAAACCCGGAGTTTAGCCGGGTATCTCTTACACACGCGGCATAAACGCCGGTACCACCACCACTTGAACTCAGCCTCCAGACACTACTTTGGCTAGCGCATGCGTGCACACGTCATCACACCTGCCCCCGGTTTCCACAGCCTTTTGTGTACGGAAAGCATCCACATCCCGAGCACATCATATTCTAAAGTCTAAAAAAATCTCTAATTCCACCCCAAGAGATATCATATTCTTTCTCCATTCATATGCTCTAAAAGAAGAAATACTGAGAAAAGCTAAACAACAACAGAGCATACAGTATAATGAAGCAGTGATTCAGATTTTTCCTGATATATCACGTTTAACATTATTGGCAAGACAAAGATTAAAACCACTAACCAATTTATTAAAGGAAAAAAACATCTTATTTCAATGGGGTTTCCCATTAAGTATAATAGTCAAGAGAGAATCAGATATACTTGTTGTTAAAACTCCTGAAGATGTTCTAAAGTTCTGTGAAAAGTTACAAATCTCAGTTCCAAATATACCAGAATGGTCAAGTACCCTAAAAGAAGGACTATAACATCACAACTTACGAACCAACCATGGACATTACGTCTACAGAGGAAGAAAAGAAAATACCAGTATTTTTCTCATTTTTATTTTTGCTTATTTTTTTCCTCTTTTCACTTTTTTTTCCTCCTTTTTGTTAAATGGCAAAGAATACTGTCAGTAAAAAGAGATGGGTAAAAATTAAAAAAATAAGTTGAGAGGAAGGGGAATACAGGGCCGGCGCGTCCATAAGGCGGCACAGGCGGCCGCCTTAGGGCGCACCGGCCCGGGGGCGCAAATGTCCGGGTGGCCGGCAGGAGGGAAGCGCACAGCTCCCCTCTCCTGCCGGTCACTTCTTGTAGCGTGGCCGAGCGCCAACCTGCAGTGCCGCGGACTGTGTGGAGGGGGCGGGGATATGAACGTCATATCCCTGCTCCCACTGAAGCACACAGCGCAGCTGGTGCCCAGCAAGGGCGGAGCTACGGGCCCCCTTCTAATCAGCATGGGAGGAAGTCCTCCCAAGAAGACTACAGCAGCAGAAGGCAGAGAGGAGGGGGGCTGGGCAGGACCAGCTCCTCCAACTCCCAACTACCTCAGGCAGCACTTTGGATCCCAGGTAAGACACCCTTCTGAACCTGTTGGTCAGTGTGTCTGTGTGTGTGTGTGTGTGTGTGTATATGCCTGTCAGTGTGTGTGTGTGTGTATGTCTGTCAGTGTGTGTGTGTATCTATGTCTGTCAGTGTGTGTGTGTATATCTATGTCTGTCAGTGTGTGTGTGTATATGTCTGTCAGTGTGTGTGTGTGTATCTATGTCTGTCAGTGTGTGTGTGTGTGTATGTCAGTGTGTGTGTGTGTGCTATGTCTGTATCTATGTCTGTCAGTGTGTGTATGTCTGTCAGTGTGTGTGTGTGTATCTATGTCTGTCAGTGTGTGTGTGTGTGTGTATGTCTGTCAGTGTGTGTGTGTATCTGTATCTGTCAGTGTGTGTGTGTGTGTATATGTCTGTCTGCGTGTGTGTGTATATGTCTGTCAGTGTGTGTGTGTGTATCTATGTCTGTCGGTGTGTGTATGTATATCTATGTCTGTCGTGTGTGTGTGTGTATATGTCTGTCAGTGTGTGTGTGTATCTATGTCTGTCAGTGTGTGTGTGTGTGTGTGTGTATCTATGTCTGTCAGTGTGTGTGTGTGTGTGTGTGTGTATGTGTGTGTGTGTGTATATGTCTGTATCTATGTCTGTCAGTGTGTGTATGTCTGTCAGTGTGTGTGTGTATCTATGTCTGTCAGTGTGTGTGTGTGTATCTATGTCTGTCAGTGTGTGTGTGTGTATGTCTGTCAGTGTGTGTGTGTATGTCTGTCAGTATGTGTGTGTGTGTATCTATGTCTGTCAGTGTGTGTGTGTGTATCCATGTCTGTCAGTGTGTGTGTGTATGTATATGTCTGTTAGTGTGTGTGGCTGTCTGTTAGTGTGTCTTTTTCCCTATCATTGTATATGTGTGTCTGTATGTCACTGTGTGTTTATCTGTATGTCTGTCAGTGTTTGTGTGTATCTGTGTGTCTATTTGAATGTGTATTAGTTTGTGTATATGTATATCTGCATGTGTCAGTGTGTGTATCTTTGTGTATGTGTATCACAGTGTGTGCGTGTGTGGCAGTGTATGTGTATATGTGCATATATCTCAGCATTCAAACACAACACTACACACAAATAAACACCTGCATGCAAACGTCAACACTACATACAAACACACCCCTGCATTCAAATGTCAACACTACATACAAACACACCTCTGTATCAGACACCAAAATTATATATAAACACACACCTGCGTTCAAAAACCAACACTACACATACATGCATGCTTGCATTCAAATGCAAACACTACATACAAACACACCGCTACAATCATACAAACATACTCCATACAAACACATGCTTACAGTCAAACACACAAATACTGCTCCATGCTAAATACAATCCTGCAAGCATGGGGAATCGGTAGAGCCCCAGCTTTCAAAGCATTGTTGAAGTTGCACGACAGATGGGGATCTATCTTTTAGCCATCCTGTGTACATACACAGACCGTCATACAGAGACATACAGTATGTATGTCTCTGTATGACTGTGTATGTATTCAAAAGGAATAAACGCAGGCAACACTCCAATAGTAAGGATGGTATATTTATTGATAGGTGAACCACCCCAAAGAAAGTGCGTCGTTTCGGCTCAGCAGAGCCTTATTGCATGAGCTGAAACATCACACTTTCTATGGGGTGGTTCACCTACCAATAAATATACCATCCTTACTATTGGAGTGTTGCCTGCGTTTATTCCTTTTGAAGACTTTACTGGTGGATCCAGCAATGTCTGCCTGACATGGAGCATCCACCTCTGTTGATGGCCGGAGCATTTACACGGTATCAGTGTGCAGGGTTCTTTGTTTGTCTGTGTATGTATGTCTCTGTATGCCTATCTCTGTTTCTTTATGTCTGTGTATGTATTTCTGTGAGTGCCTGTGTCTGGATGAATGTATGTCTGTGTTTGTACGACAATGTACCTGTATGTGTAGATTGTATGACTGTGTTTGTTTGTGTGCCTTTTATGACTGTGTGTCTGTATATCTTTGTGACTGTGTGCCTGAAAAATTATGTCTGTGTGCTTGTATGGTTGTGTGTCTGTATGTTTGTGTATTTGTGCATGTATGTATTTTTGCCTGTATCTATGTCTATGTGGGAGAAAAAGAGAGATAGATAGGGGCTGGCGGGGAAGTAAGAAATACATAAGAGGGGTTGTAGGAGACACACTAAAGGGGGGTGTAAGGCACAAAGGGGCCAAAGGGGTAAGACATTCAAGAGAGTGGATATGCAACACTAATGGGGGTAAGAAATTCAAAAGGGGGCTACGAGACACAGAGGTGAAGATGCATTGTTTATTTTTATTTTTTTTTGGGGGGGGGGGCGTCAAAATGCATCTTCGCCTGTGTAGTCAAAAATCCTAGCACCGGCCCTGGGGGAATAGAACGGGAAAGGGATGGGCAAGGAGGGGGAGAGGGAGAGAGGGTAAAGGGGAAAGAACATTAAGGTCTAGAAAAGGAATACACATTAGTAAATGACACAGGTGAATAAAATTGATGGGCAAAGTGGGTAGGAGAAATGGGAGATAAGCAATTTTCACTACTGGTAAAAGGGTTAATGAAATATTAAATACAATAGCTGATTTATAGAATTAATGAGCAAATAGTGAAACACAGTTTAAAGGGGAAGGAAAAAAAAAGAAAAACAGGTAGCACAATAGATGACACTTGAAACATAATAAATAAGGAAGAGAGGAAAGGAAAAGGGAAAACTTTGTAAATAGGAAAGAAATGAAATTAAAGTTTGTATACATAAGAGTGTGGGTGTGTATTGGCAAGTGTATGACGGTCTGCGTATGTACACAGGATGGCTAAAAGATAGATCCCCATCTGTCGTGCAACTTCAACAATGGGTGTGTATTGGCAAGTGTATGTAATATATATATATATTACATACACTTGCCAATACACACCCACACTCTTATGTATACAAACTTTAATTTAATTTTCACCCATCTCAAATCTCACCTGCCCTAACACTGCAACCTGCCTCTACAACTCCACTCTTTCCTCTCAACTAGACGTCATGGCACCTCCTACACTTAAATGCACTAAGCACTCCCAATTACAACCCTGGCACAAGCTGACCCAATACCTCCAAAAATGTTCCAGAACTGTTGAATGCTGATGGAGAAAGTCTCACTCTGCATCTCCCTTTCTCCACTATAAATTTATGCTGCACTCCTACAGTCTGGCTCTTTCCTCTTCAAAAGAAAACTACTACAATACACTCATAACCACTCTCTCCCGCAAGCCCAAATGACTGTTTCATGCTTTTAACTCTCTTCTGCACCCTGTCATGCCTCCTCCTCCTACCAACTTGACCACCCCAAACTTTGCAACTCACTTCATTGAGAAGTGTTCTCTCATCTCTCTCCATCCACTACCAAACTTTCCCCTCAGCTGTCCTATGCTCATTTGCACCTGCTCTGCTCAGTTCCTCCCACCCCACCACCTGTTCCCTCGATCCTATTCCCTAGTATCTCATCCACACTTTGTCTCCTCCTCTTGCTCTGCCTTGAAGGTAATACTCAAGAATGTCGGGGATTCCTTAATCAGATTAAGTACCATGTTGAATCCTCACCTGGGTCCATCCCCACAGATAGAGTTAAAATTGGGTACTTAATGAACTAATTGAAAGGTAAAGCCTTAACTTGGGCCAATCCATTATGGAAAAGTGATAGGACTATTGCCCATTATTACCAAGAATTCCTTGCGAAATTCAAATTAACGTTTGAACCATTGGGAAGGGAGAACAATGCTTCCACTGCCCTAATGCATTTCAAACAAGGGAACCATTCTGTCTCATATTATGCCATAGAATTCTGCACCCTGACTTCTGAGGTAGACTGAACTAATAATGGATTAATCACTGCATTTGCAGAGGGATTATCCAAAGCTATCCTTGACGAAATTGCAGCCAAAGAACTACCAGGGAGATTAAATGAATAAATCACTTATTTGATGCAAATCGATAACCGACTTAGGAACAGGGAGATAACTAGAAATAGAACCAGACGTATGAATATGTCATTGGCACCTCGCTTCTCCAATCCTGTTGTCCTTGGCACTTCTGTACAGTCTGAACCTGAACCTATGCAGTTAGGGGTTATGAGACTGTCAGAGGCAGAAAAACAGTTTAGGAGAAAAGAGGGCCTCTGCTTATACTGTGGCAAGAAAGGACACATAAGAAATGCTTGTCCCATACTTCCGGAAAACTTACACACCTAAGAACTATTAGGGGACCGGCCTTAGGTGTGCTGTATATGTCCCCTGGTACTACCCAAAGTAGATTTTTCCTTAGTGTTGCTGCTCAATGTGATAAGATAAGTTTTACGTGTAACACCCTGATTGACCCAGGCACTGCAGAAAACTTAATCAATATGCAATTTGCCAGTAAATACCTCCTACCCATCAAGGAGAGATCATCACCCCTGGCCATCGAGGCCATTGATGGGAGACCACTCTCTCTCAGCCTTTAATTACCCACGATACACTACCTATCACTACCACAATAAGAGTGTTACACAAAGAACTCATCACATTTCAGATAATTGCTTCCCCTTCTTGTCCCATTATACTTGGATTCCCATGGCTTGTTAAGCATAACCCCCGTGTTGATTGGGCTAAAGGGGAAATACTGGTATGGGGTAATGAATACTGTATAAAGAAAGATGTATGTTACCTATTACTAAAAGAGTGGGTATTGTTAATCTACCTACTCCTACGCCTCAGTCAACAAAATTCCTGTACATTATAGGGATATTAAAGAAGTGTTTAATAAAAATCACACTATGATTGCTCCATAGATCTGTTACCTGGCACTATACGCCCTAAAGGGGGAGTATATACCTTATCACCACAGGAGAGTAGAGTTATGGAAGAATACATTAAAGAGTCTCTACAAAAAGGCCACAAATGTAAATCTTCTTCTCCTGCAGGTGCAGGGTTCTTTTTTTGTTACCAAGAAAGGAGGAGAGTTACGGCCATGTATTAATTATAGGGCATTGAACAAGATCACCATCAAAAATGCTTATCCCATTACCCTTATTTAGAATTGTTTGACAGACTCCAGGGCACTAATTTGTTTACCAAACTCGACCTTAGGAGTGCTTATAATTTGGTAAGGATTAAGGAGGGACATGAATGGAGAACTTAATTTAACACGAGAAATGTTCACTATGAGTATCTTGTCATGCCCTTCGGCTAATGCAATTCCCCAGCCGTATTTCATGATCTCATTAAAGATTTTCTCAGAGACTACATTTATACAGGGCGTGCAGAATTATTAGGCAAATGAGTATTTTGACCACATCATCCTCTTTATGCATGTTGTCTTACTCCAAGCTGTATAGGCTCGAAAGCCTACTACCAATTAAGCATATTAGGTGATGTGCATCTCTGTAATGAGAAGGGGTGTGGTCTAATGACATCAACACCCTATATCAGGTGTGCATAATTATTAGGCAACTTCCTTTCCTTTGGCAAAATGGGTCAAAAGAAGGACTTGACAGGCTCAGAAAAGTCAAAAATAGTGAGATATCTTGCAGAGGGATGCAGCACTCTTAAAATTGCAAAGCTTCTGAAGCGTGATCATCGAACAATCAAGCGTTTCATTCAAAATAGTCAACAGGGTCGCAAGAAGCGTGTGGAAAAACCAAGGCGCAAAATAACTGCCCATGAACTGAGAAAAGTCAAGCGTGCAGCTGCCACGATGCCACTTGCCACCAGTTTGGCCATATTTCAGAGCTGCAACATCACTGGAGTGCCCAAAAGCACAAGGTGTGCAATACTCAGAGACATGGCCAAGGTAAGAAAGGCTGAAAGACGACCACCACTGAACAAGACACACAAGCTGAAACGTCAAGACTGGGCCAAGAAATATCTCAAGACTGATTTTTCTAAGGTTTTATGGACTGATGAAATGAGAGTGAGTCTTGATGGGCCAGATGGATGGGCCCGTGGCTGGATTGGTAAAGGGCAGAGAGCTCCAGTCCGACTCAGACGCCAGCAAGGTGGAGGTGGAGTACTGGTTTGGGCTGGTATCATCAAAGATGAGCTTGTGGGGCCTTTTCGGGTTGAGGATGGAGTCAAGCTCAACTCCCAGTCCTACTGCCAGTTCCTGGAAGACACCTTCTTCAAGCAGTGGTACAGGAAGAAGTCTGCATCCTTCAAGAAAAACATGATTTTCATGCAGGACAATGCTCCATCACACGCGTCCAAGTACTCCACAGCGTGGCTGGCAAGAAAGGGTATAAAAGAAGAAAATCTAATGACATGGCCTCCTTGTTCACCTGATCTGAACCCCATTGAGAACCTGTGGTCCATCATCAAATGTGAGATTTACAAGGAGGGAAAACAGTACACCTCTGAACAGTGTCTGGGAGGCTGTGGTTGCTGCTGCACGCAATGTTGATGGTGAACAGATCAAAACACTGACAGAATCCATGGATGGCAGGCTTTTGAGTGTCCTTGCAAAGAAAGGTGGCTATATTGGTCACTGATTTGTTTTTGTTTTGTTTTTGAATGTCAGAAATTTATATTTGTGAATGTTGAGATGTTATATTGGTTTCACTGGTAATAATAAATAATTGAAATGGGTATATATTTGTTTTTTGTTAAGTTGCCTAATAATTATGCACAGTAATAGTCACCTGCACACACAGATATCCCCCTAACATAGCTAACTAAAAACAAACTAAAAACTACTTCCAAAAATATTCAGCTTTGATATTAATGAGTTTTTTGGGTTCATTGAGAACATGGTTGTTGTTCAATAATAAAATTAATCCTCAAAAATACAACTTGCCTAATAATTCTGCACTCCCTGTACTTTCATATTGGTATATCTGGATGATATACTCATTTATTCCCCCGATATCCAGACTCATCACGGGCATGTTAAACAAAAAACGGGCTATATTGTATACTTTAGAAATCACCCTCCTTTTTTTTTTTTTATGTCAAAAAGATGCATTGCAAAATTTGTTGTAAATACCTTTATAAATATTTTTTATATATATTCTTATTGACAATTTTTTATGCCAAAAGGATACAATGCAAAATTTGTTGTAAATATCTTCATTAATATTTATATATTTTTATTGATAACTTTTATTGATTTTTATTATGCTTTCCCTTTTTCTGATGGTTTTTACATGAGATCTTATAGTGTCTTTTATTGTTTATTTTATATGTTGTTGTTGGTTTTTACCTCTGCTGGATTGTAGAGACTTATTTGCAATGTGCCCATTGAAGGGACAGATTGTACATGTGATGGATTCCAATTTGGACAGTATTTTCTCCCTGCTGGCTTTTTGCCATCTCCCCTTGGGAGGGAGATCGAGGGGCTGAGCTTGAGACTGGCGTTGGAATGCCCCGAAGTGTACCACGTGACATGGATGCATCACGTGACACGTGCGCGTCCTATTGTGGACTGGCTATATTGCACTATCTTTTTGTATCTATGTTTATGTTCTAGAATATACTCCTACAAGGATCAATTTATTATTATTGCTATTGAAAGAACCCCTCTTCCATAAGGATCAGTTTACTACAGCAACTTTTGGCGAATTTATTGTGTGCATATACTCCACCTTATACCGTATGTACCAGTTTATATTGTATACTTGACAAATGTCTATTTGACCAGACGGAAGTTCAGTTCTTGGGCTATAATATCTCAATCTCTGGTTTTCAGATGGACCCACGCAAACTAGAATCCATTTTACATTGGCCATTACCCAACGGGTTAAAAGCTATTCAAAGATTTATTGGGTTTGCGAATTACTATAGGAGATTCATCAAAGGTTTCTCTACTGTGATAGCCCCCATCACCAATATGACGCGTAGGGGGTTAACTGTAAAATAAGGGGCTGTCATTTCTCAGAGGCAGAGTCAGGATACCCCTTTGCATCCTTGTGGGTTCCTTTTT